TGAATGGAAGCCACAACTCCAGAGGTCAGGGTCTGACCATCACCAGGTCAACAACCCTACCGTCTAACAACAGAAAGGTAAACCTCACACCTTCTAGCTAACTACCTCCTCCACACACCACTTCCTCTATATACTAAACCACCACTCCAGAACTACATATTAAACCTCACTCTAACCCACCCTCCCCCCAGTAACTCAAAACTAAACCCCTCTACCTCCCACCCCAATAAAATATAATTCACCCCTCTGCCCCATTCCCATAGTTTACACCTCTCCAGTCTCCCAGCATCACCTCGCTATGCAACAACAACAACCTGTCACACCCTAATACCCCCACCGACTCTCACAAACTTCCAACACCAGTGGAGCGGAGGTCAAGGGTCAGCGTGGGGGGGGGGGAGACTGCACAGAAGTGAGCTTTGACATAATGTACACACGTGTAGATGGAATGACAAAGCAAGTGAATTTGAAGAAGTGTTACGCAAAGAAAAACCTGATGTAATTGCTATCATAGAAACAAAAATGTCAGATGTCGTAGTTAATGCAGTGTTTCCTCAGGAGTGTCATAGTTAGTACAGAAGGAGGTCGCAAGGGAACAGGCAGAGTAGTCCTGCTGATCAGAAAGGACTGGAGTACCTACCATCCCCTTTATGGCATATCTGGAGCATACCTGGAGAGGGTTCTGGGAGTAGTTCTACTCCCTCAGCCCTGCCTAAAGCTAGGCTCGACTTGTGATAACTTGGTCCAACAGGCTATTACTTGGAGCGGCCCAAAGACCCACATATCCACTACAACATGGTTAGTCCGGCATTTCTTGCAGGAACTCGCCTAAACGCTTCTTGGAGGCATACACCTTTGTTCTGGCAATATTTTTAATGCTTGCTGTGAGGGTATTGAACAGCCGTGGACCTCAGACAATGTTCAGGCAGTGCTCTCTGGTCGTGCCTATTGCATCTCTACTCCTCACTGGTTCTATTTTGCTTTTCCTTGCATAGCTTTCACTCCAGTATGTTGTTATTCTACTGTGCAAATTTGGGACCTGGGCTTTCAGTATATTCCATGTCTATACCATGTGATACCTCTCTCGTCTCCTTTCCAGAGAGTACATTTAGAGAGCTTTGAGACTGCTCCAGTAATTTAAGTGTATTATCATGTCTATGCGTGCCTTATAGGTTCTCTGTATTCCCTCTAATTCAACAACCTCTCCCACTCTGAAGGGGAAAGTGAGTACCGAGCAATATTCAAGACGGGAAAGCATCAGTGATTTAAACAGTATTAGCACTGCTGTGGGGTCTCTGGATTTGAACATTGTCAATACCTATCCTATCATGTTCCTGGCCGCCGCTATATTTGTCAGGGAGGGTGTAGGGTGCCAGGGAGGGTGCAGGGTGCCAGGGAGGGTGCAGGGGTGCCAGGAGGGGTACAGGGTGCTGTAACGGGGGATAGCCTTTAACCTTACTTAAATTGGTTAAATGCTGGTAGTTATTATTAAAAGTTCTTAATGTAACCTTCAGCTAACAATCCTTGTGACCTTGGCATTTAACAGCCCAGATATCACGACAAGACACGAGGACACTGTACTTTCTCAGCTACACTACAAAACTCTTAGAGACCTCTTTAACAGCTGCCACCACCAACCCGAACGTTCCGATAACTACTAACTGATTGCGCGCTGGATCAATCAATTGTACATTAATTCCTAGAAGGCTGATCCCCAATTACTTGAATAGGAGGAATGAATTTACGTTAAGTGTGGTTTAATGAGGTATTAAATGACTGAGTTTGCTTGCAGCACCGCCTAGCCCAAAGCATAGGGTCTTGAACACAACAAAATATAAAAGGTACTCGGGGGAAATTCTACTAAACACCATCAATTGAAAACAAGATTTATTAAAAATGAAAGATATAGATTTTACAAAGAATGAACACTTCCTATCTGAAACCTTCCTGTCTTAGAAGTAAAATGGAGCAATGTGAACTAATACACTGTACAAAAACGACAAGGAGCCCACTTTTACCTTAAACACCACAGCCAGGCCAGTTGTTCAGGCTTGCCTCTGGAGGCGAGACCTAGCCCCCAGGATGCCCCAAAACACAGTGGTCTCTTGTCCACTCTCCCACCTGTCAAGCTCACCTGGGATTACTCCGCCAGCTTACTGGCTGCCACACCAGTAACCAGGATTAATGGAGACAGCTAATCCTAAGTATTTAAGCAAGATTGATTATTACTACATTTACTTTTAATTAACTGAATTCCTCTAAACTGATGAGTTAAACACAAGGGAAATGCGGCCATCTGGTCTACCATCTCCCACTAAACGGAGTGAGAATAGCTTGAGCTACCTCATCCCTTTGTGTGTATTTAATCTCAATAAACTTATTTAAATTTAAATTTCAATCTCCCACTAATCCCTTTTATCCCTTAGGATGTAATCTTTTCTACTGCCACCCTGGTAAACGTTCCCGCTGGCTCCAAACTAACTTGTCTTCTCTGTAAATCATGTGATCCAAGATCTATAAGCTTAGAAAACCAGCTTAGTTTGTCACAGTGCCAGGGAGGGTGTAGGGTGCCAGGGAGGGTGTAGGGTGCCAGGGAGGGTGTAGGGTGCCAGGGAGGGTGTAGGGTGCCAGGGAGGGTGTAGGGTGCCAGGGAGGGTGTAGGGTGCCAGGGAGGGTGAAGGGTGCCAGGGAGGGTGTAGGGTGCCAGGGAGGGTGTAGGGTGCCAGGGAGGGTGTAGGGTGCCAGGGAGGGTGTAGGGTGCCAGGGAGGGTGTAGGGTGCCAGGGAGGGTGCAGGGTGCCAGGGAGGGTGCAGGGTGCCAGGGAGGGTGTAGGGTGCCAGGGAGGGTGTAGGGTGCCAGGGAGGGTGCAGGGTGCCAGGGAGTGCCATGAAAGGTGCAGGGAGGATGCAGGGTGCCAGGGAGTGCCATGATGAGTGCAGGGAGAATGCAGGGTGCCAGGGAGTGCCATGAAGGGTGCAGGGAGGATGCAGGGTGCCAGGGAGTGCCATGAAGGGTGCAGGGAGGATGCAGGGTGCCAGGGAGTGCCATGAAGGTGCAAAGTGCCAGGGAGTGCCATGAAGGGTGCAAGGAGGGTGCCATGGAGTGCCATGAAGGGTGCAGGGAGGATGCAGGGTGCCAGGGAGTGCCATGAAAGGTGCAGGGAGGATGCAGGGTGCCAGGGAGTGCCATAAAGGTGCAAGGAGGGTGCCATGGAGTGCCATGAAGGGTGCAGGGAGGATGCAGGGTGCCAGGGAGTGCCATGAAGCGTGCAGGGTTCCAGGGGGGGGGATACACCCTGGGGCATGACGGAAGGGGTGAGCAAGTGGCACTATGAGTATAATCCTGGACGAGTGAGGCACCCTCATCCCTGGCACACTTAGTGCATCACCTTGTTGTTGTTGTTGCTATTGTGTTCTTGTTATTGATGATGTTGCTTCCATATCCGCTACTAGTTAATTGTGGTGATTGTGTTGCTGATATGGTTGACTATCTCACAATGGTTGGTTGTGTCCGGTGGCGGTCATCCCTCAAGCTGGTGAAGGACCACCAACAACACACCACTGTTGGGTTATTGGTGGTGGAAGCTGGTGTCTTATGTTGTTGTTGTCAATGTGAGGGAGAGAGGGAGGGAAGAGGGGAGAGAGAGAGAGGGAGGGGAGAGAGAGAGAGGGAGGGGAGAGAGGGGAGAGGGGAGAGGGGAGAGAGGGAGGAGTGGAGCAGAGAAGGACAGGCCCATCAAGCTGGATACTTCCCACAACTCTATCTAGTGTTTCCTTGTATGTTTATCAGTGTATAGTGTACCTACCCTCTATACCCACTCACCTGCTGGCCTCTACCCTTCCCTGTAAGTGGCCTAGCCAAGCATAACAACACCAATTCGAACAAATCCACAAGGGCCGTGACGAGGATCCTCGTCACGGCCCTTGTGGATTTGTTCATTTGATGCATCACGTTAGTGTGATCTCTGTGTGTAACACCAATTCCCTTCCGCATCTCTGCCTGCCTTCCGTGCCCAGTGCCCAGGTGACCCAATTACCTTGTGTTGACCCCGGTGTACGACCCCAAAGTGGCCCCTCCGAGGTCGAGGTCACCTTAGGCGGCGGCAACACCCTTCACCTCGCCACGCAAAATACTGTGAATTGGATTTCTTTGATATGTGAGACGCCAGGTAATGCGGGCACCTTGTTGCCCTTGGTAGGGTATTGGAGTAGCCCTTCGTCTTGTCGGGCCCAACCTCATAGAACACAGGTGCACCTGCTGAAGCTGATCACTGTCGATCTGCTTGTATGTCGACGGAGAGAGGCGCCTCCTTATCGACCCCCACAACAGCCCTTTAGTTGAGGTATACTGAGAGATATACACCTTGTAGAGGTATACTGAGAGATATACACCTTGTAGAGGTATACTGAGAGATGTACACCTTGTAGAGGTATACTGAGAGATGTACACCTTGTAGAGGTATACTGAGAGATGTACACCTTGTAGAGGTATACTGAGAGATGTACACCTTGTAGAGGTGCTGGAGCAGCCCCCTCTGGAGACCTGTACACAATGGTGGGTGTTGACCAGTGGGGGGTGTAGGTGGTGGAGGGGGGGGGGAGTACTCACCTGCTCCTGGTGTGAGGGGCGGCCAGGTGAACCACCGGGGAGGGGGGGTGGAGCCACCTGAGGGGCGGCCAGGTGAACTACCAGGGAGGGTGGAGCCACCTGAGGGGCGGCCAGGTGAACTACCAGGGAGGGTGGAGCCACCTGAGGGGCGGCCAGGTGAACTACCAGGGAGGGTGGAGCCACCTGAGGGGCGGCCAGGTGAACCACCAGGGAGGGTGGAGCCACCTGAGGGGCGGCCAGGTGAACCATCAGGGGGGTGGAGCCACCTGAGGGGCGGCCAGGTGAACCATCAGGGGGGTGGAGCCACCTGAGGGGCGGCCAGGTGAACCATCAGGGGGGTGGAGCCACCTGAGGGGCGGCCAGGTGAACCAAGTACGGGTGGAGGCACCTACCTGATCTCTTGGTGTAGTGACGATGTCCTGGGAGGCGACTTATATCAATGGCAGAGGTGGAGGCCGCCAGGAGCACCATGAGGAGTGCCAGGCCCTGACTCAGGCTGGAGGATGGGCGGGCCATGGTGTCAGAAGAGACCAAAGGCTGCCACAAGAGTATCACAATGTCTCCTACAGCAGTGTGTGTCTCTCCTAGAGCTGTTAACCCGTACACTGCGCGAGCAAACTACCGCAAGAGGCTGAGCCAGGCAGCAGGGAATGGCAGGTGTTCCCCCTTCAACAGTTGGTTGACACTGCTGGTGTACAACTACAGCTGTGCTGGTCGGCCGTGCTTGCTGGCCCGCCACCGGTTGCTGAGGACATAACCGGTCTCTACACTTTATACGCCACACAGACCCACACACGCCGCCCCGCTCGCACATCAGCCGCCACTATTTCTTCACTACAGCGCTTCAATGTCACTTTGTACCGTCCGGAGCCACGGCTCGGTTGTGGGCGCTTCTACGGCCACTTGTCCTCACGTCGCTCACAACCACAACACTCACAACGTTATCGTAACTCGTAAAAAACATAAGCAACTGGAATTCATGTTTATTTAATACGGAAGTTGTTAGACTGCATAGCAGAGTTGGTCAAACGTTCCGCATCACAACACTCAGGAGAGGGGACCTGCGCCTGAGACCAAGCCAGCAGCCAATCAGAGTTGAGCCTGCTCGCGGTTCGACCAATCAACTAGCAGCTTTAGAGTTACTGATGTAAGGCGCCAAAGGCCATCGATACGTCGAGAGAGAGCGCAAGGGAATTTTCGCCTTCTACTCCTGCTCCTTAAAGTCTGTAATTCCTCGCCACCTGAGCACGTATATGTTCCCTTGTGCCACTCAGGGGAACAGGTGAGGAAGGGGAGGCGAGGGGTGCAGACCTGGGCGTGGTGAAGGAGGAGCTGCCCCGCCCGCGCCCCCCGCCCACACCCTCGCCGCCCTCCCGCACCTCTCTTCCCGACCCCGCCCACGCCCTCACCCGCGCTGTCCTCCCACACACCCGCCCACAGCCCTCTTCCCGACCCCGCCCACGCACCTGACCCCCTCCCCCCACCCCACCCACCGCCCACTCATACTCATCTGTTCTACAGATGCCTAAGCTCCAACAAATCATGTTCCAGCCAGTAACACCTTTTCCAGCATGTCCCAACCCACACACATGCTGAGGGTTGTGGGACTGAGCAGTCCCATACAATACACAGCTGTCCCACAGCAAAATCCCCAACCCAACAATCACAGAGGGGAGTGGGAAACCCTCCACTAGCAATTACACAACCCCAGAGAGAAGTCCAACACCCTCACCTCCCCCCCCCCCCCCATAGAAACCCTCCTCACCCATTTTTTGGGGGTGGGGGTGGAGTAAAGAGGATAGAGAGGCATAGGTGAAAGAAAGTTTATAAATTTGAAATACAGTGAGTTATGAAAGCAGGCGGGCTGTCCGCCTTGCTGACACGATGTGTGGGTGTTGGCAGCTAAGCTAAGCTGGCTCCCTCTTGTCAGGGAGCTATGAGTGTGTGAGAGGTTCTTCGCATGTGTTTCAGCATAAATGGATATCTATAGATAAATTCTGTGTAGCAGGCATATATACACAACCTGATGTTTCCAAACATGTTATGATGTTCTGTTTAAACTCTATATTTTATTATTATTCATTTACACTTTTAGGAAGGATTTGTGGTCAGTATTTTCTTGGGCCACCAGCTGTGGGAGTGAGGCGTCTCATCTTGGGCCACCAGCTGTGGGAGTGGGGCGTCTCATCTTGGGCCACCAGCTGTGGGAGTGGGGCGTCTCATCTTGGGCCACCAGCTGTGGGAGTGGGGCGTCTCATCTTGGGCCACCAGCTGTGGGAGTGGGGCGTCTCATCTTGGGCCACCAGCTGTGGGAGTGGGGCGTCTCATCTTGGGCCACCAGCTGTGGGAGTGGGGCGTCTCATCTTGGGCCACCAGCTGTGGGAGTGAGGCGTCTCATCTTGGGCCACCAGCTGTGGGAGTGGGGCGTCTCATCTTGGGCCACCAGCTGTGGGAGTGGGGCGTCTCATCTTGGGCCACCAGCTGTGGGAGTGCGGCGTCTCATCTTGGGCCACCAGCTGTGGGAGTGAGGCGTCTCATCTTGGGCCACCAGCTGTGGGAGCGGGGCGTCTCATCTTGGGCCACCAGCTGTGGGAGTGGGGCGTCTCATCTTGGGCCACCAGCTGTGGGAGTGAGGCGTCTCATCTTGGGCCACCAGCTGTGGGAGCGGGGCGTCTCATCTTGGGCCACCAGCTGTGGGAGTGAGGCGTCTCATCTTGGGCCACCAGCTGTGGGAGCGAGGCGTCTCATCTTGGGCCACCAGCTGTGGGAGTGGGGCGTCTCATCTTGGGCCACCAGCTGTGGGAGTGGGGCGTCTCATCTTGGGCCACCAGCTGTGGGAGTGGGGCGTCTCATCTTGGGCCACCAGCTGTGGGAGTGGGGCGTCTCATCTTGGGCCACCAGCTGTGGGAGTGGGGCGTCTCATCTTGGGCCACCAGCTGTGGGAGTGGGGCGTCTCATCTTGGGCCACCAGCTGTGGGAGTGGGGCGTCTCATCTTGGGCCACCAGCTGTGGGAGTGGGGCGTCTCATCTTGGGCCACCAGCTGTGGGAGTGGGGCGTCTCATCTTGGGCCACCAGCTGTGGGAGTGGGGCGTCTCATCTTGGGCCACCAGCTGTGGGAGTGGGGCGTCTCATCTTGGGCCACCAGCTGTGGGAGTGGGGCGTCTCATCTTGGGCCACCAGCTGTGGGAGTGGGGCGTCTCATCTTGGGTCACCAGCTGTGGGAGTGGGGCGTCTCATCTTGGGCCACCAGCTGTGGGAGTGGGGCGTCTCATCTTGGTCCACCAGCTGTGGGAGTGGGGCGTCTCATCTTGGGCCACCAGCTGTGGGAGTGGGGCGTCTCATCTTGGGCCACCAGCTGTGGGAGTGGGGCGTCTCATCTTGGGCCACCAGCTGTGGGAGTGGGGCGTCTCATCTTGGGTCACCAGCTGTGGGAGTGGGGCGTCTCATCTTGGGCCACCAGCTGTGGGAGTGGGGCGTCTCATCTTGGGCCACCAGCTGTGGGAGTGGGGCGTCTCATCTTGGGCCACCAGCTGTGGGAGTGGGGCGTCTCATCTTGGGCCACCAGCTGTGGGAGTGGGGCGTCTCATCTTGGGTCACCAGCTGTGGGAGTGGGGCGTCTCATCTTGGGCCACCAGCTGTGGGAGTGGGGCGTCTCATCTTGGGCCACCAGGTGTGGAAGTGAGGCGTCTCATCTTGGGCCACCAGCTGTGGGAGTGGGGCGTCTCATCTTGGGCCACCAGCTGTGGGAGTGGGGCGTCTCATCTTGGGTCACCAGCTGTGGGAGTGGGGCGTCTCATCTTGGGCCACCAGCTGTGGGAGTGGGTGGGGCCTCTCATCTTGGGCCACCAGGTGTGGGAGTGAGGCGTCTCATCTTGGGCCACCAGGTGTGGGAGTGGGGCGTCTCATCTTGGGCCACCAGCTGTGGGAGTGGGGCGTCTCATCTTGGGCTACCAGGTGTGGGAGTGGGGCGTCTCATCTTGGGTCACCAGGTGTGGGAGTGGGGCGTCTCATCTTGGGCCACCAGCTGTGGGAGTGGGGCGTCTCATCTTGGGTCACCAGCTGTGGGAGTGAGGCGTCTCATCTTGGGCCACCAGCTGTGGGAGTGGGGCATTTCATCTTGGGCCACCAGCTGTGGGAGTGGGGCATTTCATCTTGGGCCACCAGCTGTGGGAGTGGGACGTCTCATCATGGGCCGCCAGCTGTGGGAGCGGGGCGTCTCATCTTGGGCCACCAGCTGTGGGAGTGAGGCGTCTCATCTTGGGTCACCAGCTGTGGGAGTGGGGCATTTTATCTTGGGCCACCAGCTGTGGGAGTGGGACGTCTCATCATGGGCCGCCAGCTGTGGGAGCGGGGCGTCTCATCTTGGGCCACCTGCTGTGGGAGTGGGGCGTCTCATCTTGGGCCACCAGCTGTGGGACCTTTTTTTTTTACAAAGTGATAGGGATTGAAAAGCCTTTGAAATGACACACAAAACCCAGTAACCCAAAGGCTCTAAACCATGAACTGGGTGACAATGACCACTTCATCCCTCTCCAGGGATATGGCCAGTCTAGCCTCTATCCTATGTTATTGAACGACATCCCTCCAGCCAACGTGAAGCAACGCCAGTCTGGCAAAGATGTCTGCCCATACTGAGAGCTATACGTCTCGTGGAGAAATAAAATACGAGGTCGGCTGAATACCTACCTTGAGGTTACCTTGAGGTGCTTCCGGGGCTGAGCGTCCCCACGGCCCGGTCGTCGAAAAGGCCTCCTGGTTGCTGGCCTGATCAACCAGGCTGTTGGACGCGGCTGTTGTGCTGTTGATCAGCACCACTGTAGGTCCTGTCCTCAGAAGGCACCGACAACCTGGCGTAAGGGGCACGGAATGTCTCTCCTCAGGTTATGTCTCCACTGATCTCCTTGAGAAAGAGAAATACAGATTCCTGGGGCCAGATTCACGAAAGGACTTACGCAAACACTTAAGAACGTGTACATCTTTCCTCAATCATAGACGGCTTTGGTTACATTTATTAAAAAGTTTACAAGCATGAAAACTTGCCATTCAACTGTTTTTATTGTTGTAAACAGCCTCCTGGTGCTTCGGAGCTCATTAACTGTTTAATAATTGTAAACGAAGACGCCAAAGATTGAGAAAAGATGTACAGGTTCGTAAGTGCTTGCGTAAGTTCTTTCGTGAATCTGACCCCTGGCTTCCGGAAAGCCGCCTCAGCAGCACCGTGAAGGAGACGCCTGCAGGCATCAAGTGTGTGGTCGGCCACATCACCGGACACTGTACCAAACCTGAGTAGCAAGTACATATATAGTGACTGACGCTTAAACCTGCAGTTGGCTTCTGAAATCATGATTATTTGTTCAATATTAAGTGAAAAAAATGTTTTTTTGGTTTATGAAGCCAATTTGTATCTTTATACGTAAGATGCTGTCAAACACAGGTCTTGACATTACCTTTACATTGTACAGTAGTAGGCAGGTATTTAGTCCACTCAACAATAACCAGTGTTTACTATATAGTGTTATTGATAAGTATTGTATATTTGTGTGATGTCAGCGTACATCACTATAATAAACTGACATCACCAATTTTGTTGTTTAAGCTTATGTATTAATACTTAAGCTTGTATTTATTTGGTAAATTTGGAACGGTTATTGACAATTACAACAATGTCCAGATGATATCTGGCAACTTATCGCTTACTCTCACACACAGCACGAAGTCTCATATTCGAAATTATATTCGTTGTACTCATATACTCATGTTCTCTTATACTCAAATTATACT